ATTATAACATAGGCATCGGTGATGGCGGGATAGAAAGCCCAGTATTCAAACTATTTCAGACGGATATTGATATATTGGGGGCGCTCTTCACAATCGAAAAGTTACAAATGATTAACTTACGGTATGTTCAGTCCAGATGAACACAAAATGGTGGATTGCATGCATGTTATTTTGGTAATGCGTTTGCTTGTGGAAACGTAGAAATCAGAATTGCAGTTACAGGTTCGTTTTATATTTGTTATCGGTTTCTTGTTTCGCCCATGTTCCTTGGTGTAAAAGGTATGTTCATACCAATACTTGACACTAGGGAACATAATTGTCTTCGGGTTATATGAGAACACTTCTATTTGAATGGGTCCAGATATATTTTCGACCGGGTTTGATCGATGTATTCGGTTTAACATATTAGTCATAATAGCACACGTAACAATGGTAATCCGACAGTAGTGTGACATTGACCTTTGTTTGACTTCATCAGCATGGCTATTCAAATTTGTCTACGTTGCTGATATAACAGTTGATTGGATTATTGTGTGGCCGGTTTTAGAATCAGTTTTTCAAACAAAGACAAACAAACTTATTCTATATTTATACAATTTCACCATCGTGGAGTATGGGTTGGCCAAAATATCAAAATATACAACGGCATGGTGTATTGGCTGGTCAGAATATAAAGGGCATGGTGTATTGGTTGGTTAGAATATACAACGGCATGGTGTATTGGTTGGTCAGAATATACACCGGCATGGTGTTTTTACGGAATTAGTTGATCTGACGATATATTTATTTATTGGATGCATTTGTTGCATTTAATGTTCCACGATGTGTTTTGTCTATGAGTTTCATTTATTTTATTCAAACAGTAATTGATGGTAATTATTTTTGCTTTGCACAGATTTCTGACTTCATTTTACAAGACAAAGCAGCCTGCCAACCTTTTGTTGTGTGACGTGGCGTTTCAAGATGTGTTGTGTACGTAACAGCAAAAGTAAAAGATGCATGTGTTTGTGTCTTGTTCTGATTTTTTCTGTCGTCACTACTTGCATATATTACGTCTTCGTATCGTATCACGTGACCAGTCGCCTCGTTGCCATTGACACGATGTCGTCAACCTTGAATGAACTTTGGGAGACAGACAAAGATGATGTCGTCCGCGATGCGAGAATCAAAAAGGTTAAAGAGTTCATGAAATTTCTGGGACTCGATGAACGTTTACCGGCCAACAACTTTTACAGTAACTCGTGGCAGTATGCTAAGGTTGCGGGAAAGATATTTAATATCAATTACCGATCTAGAGAAGGTAAAAGAGCGTTAATTGAAATGGTGCTCAATAACACCACAGTGGTCGTCTTGAGCGAAGAACAAAAGTTGTACAAGGACGAAAGTGGTAACTGGTTAAACTCGTCCACGATATTTGGTGAGAACACGACTCCTAGCGAGCCATGGCCGCGACTCGTTTTACCAGACCCCGTCTTACCAGGTACCGGCTTACCACTCGATGCTACTTTTTATGCAAACGTTTCCAGACTCGTATACAACCGAATTGAAAAATGTGGAAGCCGAATGTTCTTAACCATGATTGCATTTCTTTCGTTCGGACATGGATTCATCAGCATACGAAATCAAGTTTTTCATCTCAAATACTTGTCCGAAAAACATCAAGAATATTTAGCTAGAATTATCAACACTCAAGAACCACCATTCATATACGAGCGACATTTACATTTTTTAGACTTCGCTAAATTTGGCTTTGAGCAGCCATACTACATAAATGTGATACGAGATCCCCTGCAGCGGTTCATTTCTTATTATTACTTTAGAAGGTTCGGGGATTCAATGTTCAACCCGGTATTCATCTTGAACGAAACAGAGCGGTACGAGACATTCGACGACTGCGTACTGAGACATAGAGCAGAGTGTTCCCTGAACAATGTGCAATATTACACTTTTTTCATCATACCATTTTTCTGCGGTCAAGAACCTGGATGTCGAATTCCTGGACGATGGGCACTGGAAAAGGCAAAACAACGAGTGGTCAACGATTATATATTTGTTGGAATTTTGGAAGATTTTGAAAATTCGCTACGCATATTTGAGATTTTACTACCACAGTTTTTCGGGAGTGCACTCAAAGTATACAACTCCGTGGTTGGACTTGAACTGTTTGATCGAAATGTCTCGTCTCTGAAACACCCACCATCGCAAACTGCGTTACAGGAAATGACCAAACGACTTGAGTTGGAATATGAATTTTATTATTTTGTAAAATCCCGAATGGAACTCATAAGGAAAGAGTTGTTGGGATATTAATAGGTTATAACATTGTTTCTCCCTTTCCCACATTCTCAGCGAGCACTACGTATTTCATAAATTACCAGTTTACATTTCAACTTGAGAGAAATACGTTATTTTAGTATATAATAGATATAATATAATTCTTGATTTAAATATATCTAAAATATGTAATATTGTTGTTGTTCTGCTGACCATGATAAGATCCAGGCTGAAGTTACTGAAGATGTGCGCTTCTGTCATATCTCATAGTGACAGGTTTCTCAGTAAATCGGTAATTGTCTAAATATTCTAAAAAGAGCGTTGATTTCAAAATCGGTAGACGCGGACAAATCTGGGAGTTTATAGATTTATTTCAAGGGGGCAAGGGGGTTACAGGAAATACGTTTTTACAAGAAATAAAACAAAAGTTCCATGTACAGTAAAAAATAGTTTTTTTTTTTTTACACTTTGCAGATAAAGCAAACTCCAAATTTCATTTTACATTTTATGATATATTTGATAATTTGTGTTTTAGAATCAAAATCCTGAAATTGCGTAAAAATTACGACATTTAATGTGAAAAATGCTTTATACGCTTACGAAAAATAAGATCTTTGTACAAATTACGGACGAATAAAATAGCTAATTACATTTTACACCTTGCCAATGTCTACAAGTTTACGTTTTTTTATTTATTTAAATTACATTATTACGAGAAAAAAAAAACAATTGATTACAGCTTCCGAAAATACCTCTTGCCGACCCTCTTCAAGGCATTTGAATGATTATAACAATTATACAACCAAAGTTCAAACAGTCTATCTACTGCCCCTCAGTCAGGCATTAAAAATGGCCATTCCATTGAAACAGGTATGTTGTGCCTCTCTGAAGATTTCCTTGACGATTTATACTATGGAAGGGATGGTTGGGGTTGTATCCTTAGATCTTAAAAGGTGTTTTGTAAGGTGAATTATTGCATATTACCCAGGAAGTTAAATTCGCATGGAACTCCGAATACTACGCATGCGTCGTTTGAGGACTATTTTTTCTGATCTATATCAATTTGCTTTGATAATTAGAACCATATTCGCGGCTTTTGTTTGTTATACACATTAATAATGTAGAGGCCTGCTTACAAGCGTAAATATGTACGCGCTGATTTCATGAAAATGGTCTATCTTATGTACATGGATAAATTCTCATGTAGAAAATATGTTTTAAAGAAAGAGTTATAGCCTATTAGGTATACAATATAGTGTACTTTTTATATTTAATTTTGTTGTGTGACTTTTCTGAAAACAGTTTTTTGTAAACTAAACTTGAACCCAATATAACCTAGCCTAGCCTAGCTATTTGGTAAGGTTCCGTTCACCCTGAATCTGTATATGTCCGGTACTGAAACTGTGATGTTACGCCAGATCCGAATCTGCAGTAACTTGACGAAATTTCAACACTGCCCACCCCAACAAAACTGCCCCAAGTTCTCATTGAAAATAACTTTTGGTTATATCATGTTCGTATGCTAATGTTGTATATTCCAAATAAATTAACAAACGTACTGTTGTGATGTGTCTATCTCCCGTTTACTATTCCTCTTCATGTCGGCCTTATAATAATAATACATCATATACATTATAATTCTGGCGCATTTCGTTTATGTGGCGTTGTACTTCGTGAAAGCAATTGCAGCACATGACTAATAAATGAAAATCTACATTTGAAAGGTATTTCATATTTTCACGTCTGCCTTTATGCGCACTGAGACTTGACTTTACACTCTCAAAACGCCACGGGGTTTCTTGTTTACTGAGAAAATTCCCTTATGCCTATCTATTTATATTCCTATCTTGTTTATTTATAACATATTCTACCTATACAGGCACAGATCACATAACGCATTGATAGTTTATTTTGTTTTATCGGAATATTTTGTAAATATTAATCAAAATATCAGTACAATAAATTTCACATTAATACTCTTTAATCGAACAATTCTTGCTAATACAAAACTTCTATGTTTTGACATCAAAATAGATATCAACACATAACTAATTATCCTGGTACAATATCTCGTAGTGAATTCTGGTAAAATAACTGATAATGAACTGTGGTACAATATCTCGTAGTGAATTCTGGTAATATAACTGATAATGAACTGTGGTACAATATCTCGTGGTGAATTCTGGTAAAATAACTGACAATGAACTGTGGTACAATGTCTCGCAACGAATTTTCTTACAATGTTTGATAATGAATTCTCAGACTGGTAAATGTCACACAAACAAAAGTACGTCATGTTCTACGTTCCGATTCAAGATGGCCACCTGGTGGCCACGTATGTAGTTGTAAAATTGATGGCCATAGTATATTCAAAAACTACAATTGTACAACATGATGTGTAAGTATCGGGTTTGGTTGTTATCTTTATTTACAGAATATCAGATGAAAGCTATTTAGAGTACAAATCACAAATAAGTGCTTAAAGCACTTGAACCCCATCTACTGAATTTCATGTATACTGCTAGCGCAAAAAAAACCATGATTTCGATGTTCATATTTCTTATTTGACATGTCAGTGTTTGTTGCAGCAACTCACAAATCGCGCTCTGCACCAATTAGGATTGATAAAAACGGAAAATTCAATGAAATTTGAAACTAAAATAGGAAATAATTCTGTACCGTGCGATACAGAAATGTCAGAATATCAACCTTATAATGCTTTCTTATTAAGCAAGTTGCAGTTGTTCCTTGATCAATTCCATCCGAGCTCTTACAAAATCATAAAATTCGTATTCCAGAGCGAGTCGCTGACTCATTATTTCTAAAGCCATCGTTGATGGCGTAAATTTCGCCGGGGATTGGAATTCTTCGTATTTCTTTAAGCCGAATATCATGGTTTTATAGACTTTGAGGCCGCTTTCGAAGAACTGTGGTAATAATATTTCAAAGATACGAAGTGATTGTTCAAAGTCTTCTAAAACTCCAACAAATACGTAATCGCTTACAACTCGATTCTTCGCCATCTCTAGAGCCCATCGGGACGGAACTCGACACTCGGGCTCCTGTCCACAGAAGTATGGTATCATCTGAAACGCCATTTCTTCCATACACTCCGGTTTATTTTCAAAAACGCACTCATCAAAAGTTTGTGTTCTGTTGCCTTGAAAATCTTCGTTCGGTTGCAAGTTATCACCGAATCTTTTAAAGTAGTAACGTGAAATGAATCTAGGTAGGGGGTCACGGATTATGTTAATATAAGGAATCTGTTCAAATCCGAACTTACTCAAATTCAAATAATGGAGATGACGATTAAAAATGTACGGCGGTTTCTGTTTGTTGATAATACTTGCTATCCATTTCTGACGAGTTTCAGTGACGTTGTAGATATTCCAGACACGACTCCAAATACTTCTGTAGTCGTTATCAAATGAGAGAATGCCGATTACTGCCAATAGCGTTTGACTACCGCATTTATCGACACGGTTGTATACAAGGCGTATATCGTTCCAATGCGCCGTTATGTCCAATGGTAGTTTGGAAGAGGGGTGAATCGGTGACGTCTCTGGCAACAAAGATGAACCTGCATCTGGGGGAGATTGTGCAATGTATCCGTTTGTTGACAAGTCTGTGTCATTGGGTAGAACACCAATGACGGTAGCATTACTTGGGATTACATTCTCGTTCTCGATCACTTCCACTCTGGTAAGATTTTCCAACATTTCAAGAAATACTGGGTCCCCTATATCTTCGTCAAAGTCACTCTCTACTTCGTTCGATTGTCTTGACCTAAACTGATGATACAGATCGTAAATTTTATCCATGGCCGAGGCGTGGGCGAGTTTTGTTTTTTGCCACAGTATATCATACATATCGGTGATGGTCATTCCACCGCTCATTCTCTGCCTTTTTTCCAACAACTGCTGCATCATCATAGAGGTGGCATTTTGTAATTTCCCGCCGTACTTAACAAAATCATTCACCCTGTCGATGGCAACTTTGTGAAAGGACTCGCCATATTTCCGTAAACCATCTAGCGAAGAATCTTCGTTTGGTGTGAATTTAATGTCTTGAGTGACAGAAAGGTAAAATAGTGTGTTTGCGACAGTTGCCATACACACAATAAAAAGAACAAAGTTGAGCATGTTTCGACTTAACATGTTGTGGTCACGTGGTACACCTAATATCGACAGACGAGCGAACAACTATAAACAACAGCGTTCGAATGTTTTTCTCTGTTCTCTGTGTAAAAAAATATAAAATTAACATAAGTCGAGTTTTGTGAATATGAAATGAATCATGGTTGGTGGAAATTAAATATAATAAATTGAGAAAACATAATGTTTTTGCTGTAATGAAATATTTGTCTTCATAGACAAAAGAGCCTGTAAGCATTGCAGCTGTCGACATATGACGATGACAGGTTTGTGTAAATACAATGTCTCTGCTTTATTCAAATACACGATGAACACAGCTTGTACACTTTGTTCTGGGAAATGAAACATTTATTCTGCAACTATGGTCGTATCGCGATTACAAACTCATCCGAGCTTACGTGAATGAACGACCAGCTACATGTTGTTAATTTGCATAGTTGAATAGTAATAGCATCTATATGTGTTATATGTACTTTTATTTGTAAAGCATAACTCACATAACAATTCGTATAAATGCTTCAAATCACCAAATATTTCCATAGCAACCGCCCCTCTCCCGGACAACCGGATGGGCGTCTTGTCACGTGATCACCCACAAAAACATTTCACCTTTACCCTTTTGTCACCATTCATAAAATGTTTTGATCAAGACTTGTAGGCAATGAGAAATTATGTCTATTTGGTATAAAACTATCAAGAAATTCTAAAAAATACATAAATTGTGTAAGTTGCACCAAATTTGTAGTTGCGTTCAAATTATAGCGTTCATTTTTCCAAATATTGGCAGCAAGTACATTCACTTGGATTCTGGACAGCACAGTGAGATTAGACATATTGATTTCAAGATTGTTGCTTGTGCTCTTAGATTTGCCAAATTGTTTATAATGTTTTTGATATAATACACATAGTAACACATTCAGATGATATTTATCACTTGGTAAACTTAATTCCGTGAAAAAAAACGTACTTACCATTTAGTAAATTGTTGTCATTATTGTTTATCCATTTCATGGGTTTGGCACTGCGTACGGATGATATATGACGGACTGTCCGATAACATCGACAGAGACGTATGTACAGTCACGATGCATGTGCGTGGAGGCAGTGTTTCGCCAATAGAAGGCGTCTGTCATGCAGATACCAAGCTGTCGTACGAACCACAGCTGTTGGTTATAACAATGGTAAGAGTGCAGTAATCCATTAATATCAGTGTTTGGTATTCATCTGCGAAATTTGGCACATATTATGATATTAAATTGATTTAACATGGAACATTTAACGCAATTAAACACATTAAATGGATTCATTGGCAATACGAATGATTTGATTTTCATACTCATAGCGAATCAAATTATCAGGCTAAAGTATGAAATTAACAGCATGATAAATACATATTTGGTGAAAGACGATACGTGTGTGTGTGCTGGCCACGTACACCCACTTTACGCAGGAACGTTTCCCCGTAGTGATATATGTAGTCCATGATTTATGTGGATCAGGTTTTATTTATGATGAACAAGAAAAACCAGCAGCCTTTAGCCTGCGCTATATGCAAGAGTTTTTAGTTGATGTAATGTCTACAGGGTGCCTATATAAAGGGAAATGGTATTAAAGCCGGGGAGTCGTCACCTGCGCATGCGCCAGATGGCCATAGCGTGTCATTGTTTACAAACAAGCGTCTACCCATGAGCTTTTGCATTTTTAGCGTGAGTTGTTATCACGTGAGTTGTTATCGTCGTTTGGGACTCAATTCCCGCGCGTGCGCAGGTGACGACCCTCCCGTTTTAGCATTATACATGCTCGGACTGTTCCTACTTATTTTGCATATTTAGGTTCAGAAATGATGTAATCGTATTATTATTACTCTATATTCAACACACAGAAACAAACATTATGTGATATATCAAATGAAAGACGCTGTAATGTTGAATTTAGTTCTAATATAAAATCATACATTGATAAATGATTTTTATGGAATTTTTCATTTTTTGGTATGCATTATGAAACATCAAGAAAGTCTGCCAGTTCACATTATCCCTTTTGGTTTAAAAAAAAAATGACGCTCGAGCCTTAGTTTTCAAAATTGCAGAAAATATTTTTTTTTTTAATTTGTTTCGAAAAATCATAATTTCTGTCATTAAAATCCGAATAATTCAAAACAAACTTATTCAATTCATAACGTAGTCATATTCTACACATCGAGACAATTATTTTCATATATATTTTCAGTTTTGGCTCATTTTTAGTTCTGAAACATGTATCTTATATTATGTAGTCATTGGTCAAGAACTTTCTAAATCTAAATTGTAAATCAGTTGGTCATTAGCTCCAGCTCCTTGGTGATTAACCATTCAAACTATTGGGCTGATTTTGAGAAACAGAAATCTACAGCAAAAGTAACAAAAAAAAGTATTCATGAAAATAATCCCACGCGTATTTGTTAGAGCAAAGCTTAAGACAAAACGAACTCAAAACCTGGAGGAAATAAGTTGCATAGTAGAAAAAAAATACTGGGTAGGTAGGGTTTTAATTTTATTTTACCTAATTGTTATCCCATTTGTTGTGGATAGAACATCAATAATTTACATAAACTAAAAATTGTAGTTGGTAGGTTTACCCCCTCTCGATTATGGTTTAAGTATTTATAAATTGAAACGTGCCTGACGAGGTCGCCAAAAACAAATGTGATGCCGTTCGGCCGGCGATGGCCTACTCACGCTTACAATGTGAGGCTAAAAATTACAGAGAAGACGAACGTTTTATGTTTGTTTTTATCTCGCCCAGAATCAGTGGTCCACATTATTAATGTATGAGATTTGTTGTAAAGTGTTATAAAAATATAAAGAAGAAAACAACATAACAAATTAATCCTATTCTACGACATGTCTTTCAATTCATTATATGAAGCGTTTCACACGTCATCGTGCTGGTGAACTACCTCGGCAGTCTCACTCACGTGTTTATAAATACTGTCGTACAGATTTTCTAATAAGGAGAAACGAAGACTCAAGTGTTATGAATCACAAGTTGTGGGCGAAACTGTGGATGGTTGTACAGTCTCATCTGAGTCCATATGTCCATGAATCAGTCTGCTGCTTTGTAATCAAGATCCTGGAATCCGAGATTTGTAATCCATATTTATTCAAAAATGCTATCCGGACAGCTACAATCCGCCAGATATTTATACCCTGAATTCATTATGATACGTATTTGGACAGTAAATGAGACCCATATATACATAGAATATTGAAAAACAGAACCCATTAAAGCGTCGCGTCCTCAATAGGTACTTTCGATATAGACCCCGGTGTACATGTTCAGCGAGGAGCCCAGAAACTATAAACTGTACTCCAAGCCAGTGTGTGTGTGGGATGAGGTGTCGACCGATATCTATATCAAGATATATCAAGAATAATGACTGCTCGAACACATCTTTGTAACTGCTGTACAATTGTAATATTCAAAACTTTATTGAACTTACATTTCTCGACAAATTTGCGTCATCAACAGAGGAACAAACGATAGGTCCTGGAGTTCAAGATTTAATATCTGAAGTTAGTCATGTGACTTATACATGGAATTAGCAGCTTAGTCATGTCCCAAAAAACAGAAATCCAGGAAACAAATTACGACGTATAAACAGTTTAAAATGGAATATGAGTTTGAAGGATATTTAACAGAAATTCAGGATTTCAATTTGAGAAGAATGGCTACCAAATTTCGACTTAGTGACCATAATTTGGAAATAGAATTAGGCAGGAGAAAATTCCCAAGAATTGAGGCAAACAACAGATTGTGTAAAAAATGCAACATGGGTACTGTAGAAGATGAAGAACATTTCATCCTTGACTGTACTCTCTTAGAAGACTGTAAATTACATATATTACAGCTAACCAAAATTTAAAAGGCGGCAGTCGTCGTGCCGCGCCCTGTTCGATATGGGACTCATAACGAGATACAACGCGTGTACAATACATTGTTTATTTACATGAAATTCGAACACGCGCTGCGCGACGACCACCGCGCTTTAATCAGTTTAATATTCACTTGCATATTAAATAGTAGTACTGCACTTGCAAAAACACAATTTATAAAACCTAATTGTGAATCCGTATTTCATATATATCCTTTAGTTTGTTATATTTGTAATTTGAAACTTTTTTTGTCTTTTTTGATCTGTATCAGTACCATACAGCACCCACTGATGGTGCAGTTGTGTAATGAAGTTATTATTAGTAGTATTATTTATACATATTTTTATATCTGATACATCATTCTGTTTTGCATGCAAATGTGTGTGGGAGGGCTGCATTTATGAAAATTTTATTTTTTTATATCTGAATCTGGATGTCAATCCTTTTGAGAAGTCAAATGTACACATTTCAGCCATCAGAGAGCAGCTTGTTTGTTCACAGTTTTTGTTGACGTATCAAATTCTCTCCATTATATCACACTTTGACCAATCCGCCTCATTGTCGTAAAACTGTGGCCTTTTTGCGGCACTTGATGGTTACGGCAACAAATGTAGAGGGAAAACCATCGCTAGCGAGAATGTAAAATCTATAAATGTAGCAATATCCAAATATCACTATACACTATCAATAGTCAAAATATAAATTTATATGTTATAGTACTGACGTAGAATGGGCTGTGTGAGTCTCAGTAAACCGAGCTACGAACACACGGTCTGAAAAAAATATGAATACTTTTAAATTCATTTAAACATGGCTGCCCTCATGGCTCGTCGGTGTGCTGGACCACTTTCTAGCAATTGGCGGCGTGTTTTCCAACCTAATGTTATCAGTAAGTGCCTCTTTGTTATAGTTCCGTAAATATCGGTCTAAGAATTGCGATCCGTTGAATCTTGCATGGCCTTGTCACAGTCGCCAAAGTTGTTTTGTCGGCAGAATTGTGTTGAAGCCTGACATGCGTACAGTGGTGGTAGTGGTGGTGGTGGT